CATCTTTAATGATGTGAAGCTTGTTGATGGCTACCAAAAGCATCTGGTTAAGGTGCAAAGTTGCATGTAACAGACACCGGTACTCCGTGCACATTTTGTATACGCGTGTAGAAGTTGCAGTAAGCTGCAGCAACAGCAGAGGGAGACGTTTTATTTCAAGGTAACATGAAAATAGTTATGGAAAAGTGTTTAAACAGACGTTTTTAACGCATTTACATCTAAATACATATTACCCTTTCTGGCGATTAAGGAGCCAGAGAGGATTAAGCTTATGTTTTTTGCTAAAAAATAAAATAAAACAGTAAAGCGCCTTGTGGCGACTGCTGTTGTGTTGTGCTATATAAATAAAATTAAATTAAACATAATTTCCACTCTTAAAAACTCTCAAATGACTCCAACTGTTGCTCATCTGCTAATCCAAGCCTGACATCATTGTTCTGGACCAGGTTATTTCCAACAGTGGGTTGTTTATTAGTTACCATGGGGTCATTTTCTAGTTCTAGTCCTTTCAGGTCATAAACCTCTTTACACTTTGACCCTCTGTTTGCTGATGGTAAAAGCCAGGCTGTTTGACAGTCAGAGCAAAGGCATTTGGGTTTACAGCTTCCCTTTAGAGACATTAGCTAGTTGTCATTGGCACCACATTTGTTTTTGAGGAACCCAGTATTAAACATTTTCATGCCTGAGATGGGAGAGCATCATTTTTAGGTCAAAACAACTGCTTTTTGCCTGGTTCAGACAGATGCTTAGTAGCTTGAAGAGAGAACACTCTTTCTCTTCTCTTTAAATTTTGGGGACAGGTTTTTCCCAGCATGCTGTCAGACCCTCCTGGTTACAGGGTGAAGTTTGACTCTTGCAATGACCTGAAAACAGTCTGAGCTTCGCCTCTCGGCGAATTGAAAAACAGGATGAGAGCTCTGTATTGCCGGCACAGGTGTGAGCCGTGACTGTGACCTTTCATTTAACCTCAGTCAGAGAGCAGGTTATCTGCCCGCCCCCCTTCGCTGTCATAAAATCCCATCTGTAAACACCTCGCAGGCAGGATCGAGGCTCCATGAAACCTTCTTTGTGAAGGCAAACTGCCGGGATTTTCCATCGCATGACATTTTCCATGACAGGGCTTAAACTGATGCTTTCTTCTAGCATTCTGATTGTGCAGGACATCTCTCACAGTGATTTCACAATAAATCTCTTACCTCTGCTATCATGTACACAGAGGTCCAGGATTCCTGACTCATTTGTCCCAATGTCTAAAATGAGCAAGTACTCCATGTGCCAGTCACAAAGACTGTGCAGCTCGTCTTTAGACATAATTTGAAATGTTATTTTGTTTGTTGCTCCATCACACACAGAAACGAAAGCTGCGCCCACACTGGAAGGAATGAACTTCAAACAAGCTAAACAGTGTAACAGTTTGTAACACTACAAAGTCAGATTGTGCTTCTGTTTATATATTTACTGATTCTTCTGGCATGATAGTTGTAAAAGTTCTGGGAATCGTCCCATAAACATAAAACAATCTGTCCAGTCTCTCATTCAAGATCATCTTCGTGTGCATCCCTGGACTGCTTTCAGCAGGGCAGTTATTTTTAGATTATTCCTGGAGCTCTGTGTCGGCTTTAATTTCACTACAGTCCTCAAACTTCCAAGGTCTTTAGGGACCATGACAGGTCAGGATCACAACCAGGAGCGTAGTTTTACACTGTGAATTCAGACTATTAAAGCAGAAATCTACTGCTTCTATTGCCACTGTGTCCAAGTATACAATGCATTTAAAAAAGTAAGAAACACACCCTTCACTCACCAGCCAACATACCCTGGAAGTCCAGTTTTAGAATTTGGCAATGTGTCGGTGTCAGAAGTGCGATTTTCCATGGAGTGATCTACACAACTGCACTGGAAGTTTGTCAAAAACACACCAAAAGGGGCCCATTGAAAATGTTAAGGTGTTTGATTTATTTATGTTTTGCTTTTAACTACATACGACCGTTTTCTATGAACCTAAAGCACTACACATTTGATACCAATGAAAAGAACTTTCATAGTATTAAAAGAAAATCTTTGAAGATAAGTTCTAAAGTATCACTTTTGAATTAAATGCTGTATTTCAAATTTTTTATTCTATGACTAAAAAAAGATTAGGTCTTATTACTTTAAAAACCCAAGCCAACAAACGATGGAGAGGACCTGTCAGACTGATGTTCAGAGTCTATCTCACGAGAGTTTAAAATGACAGGTCCTGCAAGGCCCCCTCTGCTGTGTGCCAGGTGCGCTCACCTCTCCGGGGGGGATAAATTGTGTTGTGTGACGTAAATGAAATGTCACAGGGAGCCAGAGGTGGAAGCAACTGACGCAGCTGTTTGGCTGCATTCACAAGGAGCATCCTTAAGGAGAACCAGAGTCACGCTGTGCCTCGTGGGACAGCCTATTTCAGGAGCCAGCTCCCTGTCAGCTCCCAGTCTGTCCACGTCCACACCCCAGTGTATCTGTTGATAAAAGCACTGGCAGGAGGCAGTGCTGGTGGTATGATTCAAGCAGGCTCACCATCCTTTGTAAGGGTCTTGGGAAGAAACAAAAATGACAGTGCAAACAGCTGCTTTACGCTGTTTTGGGATCAGGCACGGAAATAAAGTCTCAGTGTCGACACTGAAAATCATCCAGTTTGGTGATGAACTCTGTCAGTGTGCGCTTCCATGAATTGCTCCAACAAACCAGAGAAAATGGTGCACAGCATGAGCAAGCAAAAAAGCCGTGTGATACAATATAAAGCAGAGCTGCTGCTGTGATGCCAAACCACAGTCGCGGTGGTAGCACACAATTAATTTCTGTGAGCCAAAGGAGATTAGAATCTGTAACCAGACGGTGTGCAGAGACAGAAATAACTTTTGCAATACTGTGGCCATGTGCAGTCTGAAGTGTTGTTGGTTCCCATAGTGCTGCTGGGAATAAGAGCCATGTAATGTTTCTGCAAACTCAGAGTCTCTGTTGCTACATACAACATATAGAGATCGGCACTTTTTTAAAAAAAAAATTTATACTCATGTTTTTGCATCTTTTAATTCTCTGCAATGATTGGTTCCTTGACTAGAGATGAAATAGGGCAAAAAAAAAGAGATTAAATTCTTGCCACACATTTTGTTTCTTTGGATGTGCAGGCTTGTATATGTAAAAGCTAAAAAATGCAGCGAATGCAAAAAGTGCTTTCTTTCTTAGTTAGACTCTGCCATCAGAACTCACAGTTTATTTCCCACTACAAGCATGCTGATACAGACGATGGGCTAAGT